TCAATTGCGATCTTTCCCCGGAAACAGAGGTGCACGTTCACCGAAGCTTATCTACGTCATTCGGTACAAACTGCAAAACACAATAAGTTGTCGCTTGCATATTATGTAGCCCAAAAGGTAGTCTAATTAAAATTGATAAAGGTTCAAAGTGTTTTTGAAATCTGTTAACAACAGTCCATTCAAGACGGCCACTTAGGGAAAGATATCAATGTAAGGATTTTAATCGGTGGGCCCTTCCTTCAGGAAAAAAAAATGTTTGTTTTAGTAAAGACAACCCCTTTGACACAATAATAATAAAGTTGTTAGGGGACTGCCCCTAGCGCAACCCACTGCTTCGTGCACTGGGGGACTGAAAAGAAACAGCCTTTGAACTCTGAATAGAGGTCAACAAGACTTCATCAGACAGATCTAGATCCAACTGATACATAGATCTATTTTCTAAATCTAGTTAAGTTTATTAGTGTTATAGTATGGTGGGAGAGTCTAGATGTAGAGCCAAAGTTTATTCAAGGCGAATGTATCATTTATATCGACAGATTTGTTGATCTATCTAGTAGTTCTTATGACATAGACTACGTGGTAGGTCTACTCTTCTTCAATAAAAAAAATATCAGTCTATTCCTACTATGATATCTAGGCTTAGATCTAGATCTAGCTCAGATCTTACATCAGTGTATAGGCTACAAACAAACACTTTCCACCTTTCCCTATCCTGGTCTAGCCTCTTGATGTTACCCCATGTCTTCCCACATTTCGGTACATCAATCTCTGTTAGTCTTCTCCATGTTCCAAGTGACTTTTCGCTTGATCTTTTACCCTGTGGGTTCCAATCCAACAATTGCCTCGTTATGCAGTTACCTGACGTTCTGAGAGTATGTCCAATCCATCGCCACCGCCTTCTTCCAACTTCATCTCTGACTGAGCTCTGTCTTGTTCTTAACACTTCATCGTTGTTAACCCAGTTTGTCCATCTGATCTGCAATAATTTTCTCAGACACTTGTTCAAGAAAATCAGGATCCCTTTTAAAAAATAAGTCTAAGATGAGTTCCATGTCTCGCATCCACGCCTGTAGACAAAGACAAGACTGGTGTCATATTTGAGTTGAAAATCCTTAGCTTTGCTCGAAGCGAGATATCCCTAGTTCTCTAAATCCTTTTCAAACATATGAAAACAGCCTGTGCCTTTCCGATGCGGAACTTTATTTCTTCAGCACTTGTTCCATCCCCTCTTTCAACTGTAACCACTGTGTGTTGTTCTCATTCTACTTTTCCTTCTCAGAGAGAGAGCTCAGAGCGTTTTGAGAGAGAGAGAGAGAGAGAGAGAGAGAGAGAGACAGAGACAGA